AGTGAACACTTGCCTGCATTACCCATTCCCACTCAGGGGCAACGTGGTAAGGGTTTCAACTCCCGTTCAGAAGGTTCACGGTTCAGGGTGCAGCACAAACACTACAACACCACGGACGCATGGAGTAATTGATCAATCAGATCACGCTTCGCACACCGTCGTTGCCTGTCTCACATTCGTGAGTCGACTGACCGTCCGGACGATCGGACTGAACAAATAGGCCAAGCAGGCAGAGTGTTTCTTGCGCAGGCGTAAACAATAGCCACATAGTGGTAAATGACAACGGACATATTTACTGAGGTGCATAGGGTTGATCGCACGATTTCAGCTTTGCTAACATACATAAGTGACGATGAATCAAGGACAAGGAGATATTTCACGACCATTTTCCAGTTTTATTTGAACCTGAGAGACATGCATCCGTCTTGGGTGTAACAAGAAGTGGGATCAATGGTCTATGCCCGACAAAAACCTTACCAATATGTCAATCTCGTCCTGTTCGTGAACGACCGATAAATGCACGAGTTGCGGACAACAGACATAATCCCAGTATAATGCAATAGGAAACACAAAAGGTCCAAATATTTTGAATCAGAAATAAGGTAGCAGTAAGGAGTTTTACTCATCCGTACTTTACTCAACGTGTGATGTAGAGTAAAAAATACTTTAATTGTCTATATCAGTTCTACGGGAAGCATATTGTAATCAAACAGAGTTATGACTCGATTAGAAACACTCCAACCTGGTTACTTTTTAAAAGAGAGGAATGGAGCATTTTGGTTATTCATATGGTGAATTTCATTGTGTGAAAATCAAACAAAAGGTGATCTGAAAAGCTGGGTAGTCGTGGACACCTGTTTCGAACTGACTGGGTCTTATCAGCAGTGCGAATCCATCGGATTGGAATGTTTCCAGCTGACTTATAACCACAGAGACCGTGCTGGGATGATCGCTGTGCGATGCCCGCGATAAGCTGACAACAATGGGCTGTGTTAGAAGCAAAAGGATGCAAAGGGTCTGATTAGCTTCCCCGTGGGCGAGTGGATAGTAGGCTTGTGTTCTACCTGTGGGGTCCCGGGTTCGGTCCCAAGTTAGGTGGCACCGGTGATAATAGCCAACCAGGCCGAAACAATTATCCAGTGCTTCCTAGCTTTTCAGTTCGCGTTTCGTTTGCACTATACACGACGAAATTTACCATATGAGGAATCCAAATCCTCTATTTCCCTCATAAAACACGGAGTGATGAATAAGTTCGTTTTCGGTAAAAATGTCGTCATACCACAGATAACAGTGCATCACTATCAATCGAAAACCTGAATATTGTGTGTAGGAGAGATAGGGCAGCAGTGCTTCGTTGCTCGATTTATGCCAAGTCTGATTAAGCTGCAACTCCACGGCACAAATCAACACTGTAAATCGTTTGACAGTACACAATTTCAACACTAATTCAATAAAACCGACTGTTCACGCTTTGAAACATGACCAAGGAAATGAGCATGTGGCCAACACACATACAGACCAGGTTCTCGTCTTCTATCGGCAGTTGCGTGACCAATGACGAAGGTTGTTTACGTGTTCAATTCTTTTGATTGAGGGTGTCCATTGATGTTGACATGACATTCTTTGGTATTGATAAAATATTGAAAATCGGTTCTCGTAGCTCGGGTGAACTGAATTCCATTTTGCCTGTTCGCCGAGCTTGGTAATTTGTTTAAACGTTTCATCATCAGCCTAGGTGACATCATCACAAGCACCGATAATGTCACCTCGGCTGGTGATGAAACGTTTGCAAACAAATTACCAAGCTCGGCGAACAGGCGAAATGGAATTCTTTGGTATTGTTCTTCTTTGGTGTGAGAGGTGATGCACACGTATGAGGTTCGGGAGTCGCGCTGGTGAAGGACTTGACCATGTGACTTGATCAACCATCTTTCCCCAGGGTGTGAAACGTGCTCTTTGATCAGTCGGTACATTTGTCAGTATGTTCTAACAACACACAGTGCTCTTCATTTGCATTTAAATAGTTATATTAGTTGTGTGTGGACTGGGATGAACCTGGGAAGCTGAAGTGTCAGTAACAATTGTTTCGGGGTCCATAAGTCCTTAGGGAGCGACATTCCTATGACTGACATATGATAGTGCTATTTATCGATCCATATACAACCTTAATTTACCTGCATATGTATCAAACGATGAGGTAAAATGCCGATTTCATGAAAATCGTTTTGATGCTTGAGTCTTGAGTCTTGCTTGAGCCTTTTTAAATGTCAAGTAAAAAATGGAATAGAAGCTCATCAGTTTTCGGGGAATGTGACTCTATTAGAATCTTTTGCATTCTGATGGATTTATTGCACGTAAAATAATAATTTTGACTGAACATAATTCGGGTTTCCTTGACACTTACAGTTATCATTTGTAGGTAGCCTAGTCATCAACACTTGAAAAGCACTGCAAATATGAATTTCATTCTTGTCCGAGTCTAATAACCAATACATACTCTCCAAACAGTAACCAACAAGTAACATGGGGTCTGAACATAGCTATCGATCCAGTACCAATGTGAACATTAGGAATCGCGTCCATCTATTCATGATCTTCACTAAAATTGCAAGGCATTTGGCTATTTATTTTGAGAGGCAGCGATAAGCGGAATGAGTGCCCTTGTAATGTCCTGCTGAATGAGTCCCAAGTTCGCTTCCGGCAACTAGGACCAGCTTTGGCTCACTCCGCTCAGTAAATCCATTGTTCCTCTTGCGGGTCAGGGTACAATGGGTGGGTAAACTCTGGAAGGTGGTGCTGCATGCATCATTGTAATGGCCACGGTGTGTCGGAACGTAGCAAACACTCTTAAACCGTGTTGGTCTGAACAGAAGCGAAGGCGTCCCCCCCAACAACGAGAGAGTCTCCGTAATCGAATATGGGACACTCAGGAAGTAGCCGGTTACGCCTCTCATTGCCAGCTCAGTACACCCTAAAAGACCGGAGCATCAAAATACAGGGTTACTATCCCACAGTTTACTCGTGCTTGGTTGAATTTTATCTCTCCTAATAATTAACACAGTTAACAGATAATACATAGTGTCTAACTTCTTTTCCCTTGGGATAAATTACCTGCCTGACTGTTATTAAAGATGCTCTTTGAAAAAAAAACATTGAATCGTTGATTGTGGTCGCCAATTCTGTGAACTGGTTATCACAACGATGACGCATCACTCTTCTATGTCGGTAGTCTATGGAGTTCAAGCACCGTACTGATCGGTAAACATGCGCTATCCTTGGGCTCTAACAATAGTGAGTTGCACAAGTAACTGTGAGTCGAATGTGAATTATACATACATACAGTGCGTTACAAGGAGAGATGTCGATAGCTCCAACATTTCTCGCAGACTAGCTTACTTTGGATGGGTTTGAATCACATGACACACTTTATTCTTCTAATGTTCAGTACTAATGACAGTGTTTTTACAGCATTTATCGAATGTGTTCCAAAGGATTGTAAAATAAAATCTGCTGATCAACTGTTTGACACTTTTTCAGTTTCTGTCTGGAATAATAGTNAATAATAGTCGGGCTGACTTTCCCGCTGCTTCTGCCGCAAATTATGCGATACACCCCGATTCTCGGAGAGGATACAACGACTTCTGAATCGGTCAGTCCAAATTCTAACTTATGAATCTGTTTTGTTTACCTGTACAGATGAATGCGTGCATGTTTTATTTGATCCCTTGGTCTGCCTGTTTATCCGTTGGTCGGTTTGTACGGGCCAGTGTGTTGTTCGCATGCACTCACAGGGTTCAGTCGCCAGCAACCTCCATATATTTCCATTGGGGCGTAGTCTCTGTCACTGAAGTTCAAACTTCATCAATGGTTCATACAAAGTTATTCACTATATATATATATATATATATATATATATATATATATATA